AGAAAGTGTTAAGAGTCATGTGACTAGGTGTGGTAGCTCTCGAGTCTGTAATCCCAGCACTTAGAGAGGTGGAGGTGAGAGGATTGTCAGAACCCAGGGAAGACCATCCTGGGCAACTTGCCAAGACCTTGTCTCTACAATAAATCACAAAATTAGCTGAGTATGGTGATGTGTAGTTGCAGCTGTTTGGAAGGTTGAGGCAGAAGGATTGCCTGAGCCCAGTAGGTCAAGGCTGTGATGGCTGTGAGCATGCCACAGCACTCCAGTCTTGGTGACAGAGTGAAACTCCTACTCTAAAAAAAAAAAATCATACTGAAGAGAAAATATATTTACTGTTCATTAAGTGGAAGTGAGTCATTACAAAGGTCTTCATGTCTTCTTCTGAGGAGGAAGAGACGGGGAAAGAGGTGGAAGAAAATCCACATGTGAGTGTACCTGGCAGTTCAAACCCCGTTGTTTAAGGGTCAGTTGTCGTTCCCGTCTCCCCCTTTCCCCCTTTTGACTGTCAGTTCTTCATTCACCCATCACATCGCCCCAAGCAATTGCTAGCCAGGCAACTCTCAATTTATACTTTCAAAGGAATAACTCCTAGTTGAAACTACATAAACAACTTGCAGAACTTAGATCTAAACACTATCATTTGCCTAGTAAAGGCCCAGTTAAGACTAGATGACTAAGAAGAGCACCTTAAACAAAGGTAAGATTTATTCTGTAAACTTGAAGCCAATGTCTTTTCCATAGTAAAAGTGTCTAGTGGTTTAGGTGCAGAGATACAGTTTTTTCTTTTTCTTTGCAGATGTAAATTTCTTTTAAAGAGAATTTCAAATTAGCTAAATGTCACTTGTGCTTTGGAGGCTGGTTTAATTCCATAGGCTATCTTTTAAATTTAGATTGTTAATTGAGGACAGCTAAAGAGTGACAGAGTTTCTCTGAGTATCGCATCAGTCCTGGCTGTTAACATGAAAATTATTATCAGAAGCTGGCCAGCTTGGTTTTAAGGACTTTCTTCAAAATCTTTGGGGAGAGTCCCCTTTCCAGGGTCCTGAACAAATTACTGGAAACAAATTTTGCTTTTTACAGGTTGCTTATTGGAGAAGTGCCCTGGAGCAGGCCTAAAAACAATTCTACTTTGTTGATTGCCATTCCCATCCAAAAGACCACCCATCAGAATGACCAAGTAGTAGAAAGGAGTGCTTTATTGATGATGTCAGTTTTTAGACCAGGAAGACTAGTGTGGACTGAAGTTGCTCTTTCTTTGAGGGGAAAGCAGATTGGGTTTTATGCCTCACAGGACCTTTTTCTCACAGTAGAGTTTACACATGTTCAGTGAGTTTGGGGGGCTACATCCCACATTCACTTTGGGGCAAGGTTTTAGCATTAAAATGGAGTGGAATTTGGCTGTTTATGTCAAAGTATGAACTATAGGGCACAAAGACAATTTGTATATGGTCTCTGAAAGCTGCCTGAAACTGGCTTAAGGTCTGTAGTGGCTTATCAGAAAATAATATTTATAAGCTCAGTCCTCTACCCAGTCATAGTTTAGTGGTCTGGCTTGTAAATCAGAGGTAGGAGGGGTCTGAGAATTTCCTTGATATAGCTCCTATTGTTAGGGGGTTTAGCAAGAGTGTGGTTTTTCTTGTAGTTCTAGGAATTTAGGAAGTTGTCATGCCAGCCCTGACCCATAGGTAACGTTTGTTTCTTCAATGTTATGGTCCATTTTAGTTCATGAAGGGGCATCTGTTTTGGTCTCTCAGATCACACTATGGAGTTGAAACACTTTAGGGCCTTTTAAAGGGCCATTTCTGATTTTTCACGCTTTGCCTGGCAGCGTAAGGGTTCCAGTTTCTTCATGTTCTCACCAACACATTATTATCTGTCTTTTTTATTAGAGCTCTGAGGGATGTGAAGTGATGTCTCATTGTGGTTTTGATTTGCATTTTCCTGTTGTCAGTGGTATTGAGTATCATTTATATACTTATTGGCCATTTTTATATTTTCTTTGGAATATTTTTTCTTTGAGGAAATGTCTGTGTACATTCTTTGTCGTGTGTGTGTGTGAGTGTGTGTGTGTGTGTGTGTGTGTGTGTGTGTGTGTGTGTGT